CGGCCCCGCTCGCCCAAGCAGCGTCACCCACCCCCCAATCGGGGCTCCTCGGGGGCACGGCCCTGTCCGTCTGTCCCCCCAAATCCCGAGGAGCCGGCCGGTGGCCCCGGCTCTGGGAGCCCCGCGGTGCCGGCTCCCCCAGAGGAGCCCGGCCCGAGGGTCCCACGCCGCGTGTCAGCCCCGGGGACACCGGGGCTCCGCGGGTCCTGCCCTGCCGCCCCCGTGCCCAAACCTGCCAGAACCCACCCGGTGTCCCCAGCCGGGGCAGGGGAGCACGGCCACACGCCTGGCCGGGGGCGCCGGGTGTCCGTGTCCCAGTCGGTGCCCCCGGTGCGAGACCCCCCCCGTCTGTCCCCGGGGAGCACCGGGGCGTTGGTGCCACCCCCGTGGATGTGACAGTGACCCCGGGGCTGGCCCGGTGGCCGCCCTGACCCCGAGCTCTCACCGGGTGTCCGGGTGAGGTCTGGCGGTCACGGAGCACCCTGGAAGGCCCTGGCGCTGTCCTGGTGGCCCCTGGCCATGGACTAGGGGGCAGAGCCTTTCCCGGGGCTCAGGCCACGACTGAGGCTGCAGAGACCCCCGTGTCCCCCCCAGGCCCAGACAGAGCACCTGGAGCCCAGAGCCATCAGAAGCTTTTATTTTAAATAACCTCAAAAAATAGAATTGCAGAGAGCAGAGCTGGGGGAGGGGGACTGGGGCGGGACCCCCTGCCCAGCCGGGGCTCGGGGGTGGCTGTCCCGGTGTCGGTCCCGTCAGAGGATCCGATTCCCTCTGGGATGCAGGAATGGCAGCTCCCAGCGGCGTCTGTGGCCGAAGTTCCTCCCTAGGCCGTGGATCCCCGGCTCTGTCACACTGAGGGGACAGGGAGAGGCCACACAACCCCAGCAAACAGCCCCGTGCCGCTGGAGCCTCCCACAGCCCCACCAGCACCACTCCAGCTCCGGCTCCAGCGGCCCCCCCAGCGTCTCCCATCCCAAATCCGCAATATTGAGTTCCAAAGCGCGCAGTTACCCAGAGCAAGCAGAAGCACGAGCTGCCCCCCATCCCCCCGGCACCGGAGGCGTCTCCGGGGCCCCGCTGCAAGCAGAGCTGAGCCCTTCCAGGCCCTTTTCCTGGCCGTCTTCCCAGCGCGCTCCCAACTCCTCCACGTGGAGCGGCCCCGGGGACCGCGGAGCTCAGCCCGCAGCAGGGCGGGCCCAGCGCTCCCACCCCAGCCGTGTCCTCGGGGAACGCCATCCAGCCCGCAGCAGGCCGGAAGGTTCTGGAAGCAGAGCGAGCCCTTGAGGGCCCCTCTTGTCCCAAGTCTGGCTCCAGTGGATGCAGCTCCACTGTGCCCAGCTCTTCCTGGTGTGTGTGGCTGGAGCCCGCACGCAGATCCGGGTCCAGCACTGTCGCCTCCAGCCCTTTGCCGTCTTCCCAAGGCAGAAGTGTGCCATGTCCCAGCCCGGCTGTGCACAGAAGTCCCAGGGCTGAATGCAGCTGGCGGTGCCACCTTGGCACCGAGCCCTCGGCTCCGTCCCTTTCACTGTGTCCTTTGGCCCTGTCCCCTGGGCTCTGTCCTTTGGCTCTGTCCTTTGGCTCTGTCCCCTGGGCTCTGTCCCCTGGGCTCCATCTCCTCCAGGCTCACCGTGGGCGAGCGCAGGAGCCGAGGGCCGGTCCTTGCTGGGGGTGTCCCGGTGGGGGCTCCGGTGTGGGGGTCCCGGGCAGCCGGGGCAGGGCGGGGGTCCTGGTGCGGGGGTCTCGGCGCGGGGGTCACGGGCAGCGGGGCGGGTCCCGGGGCTCACAGGCAGCCGGGACACGGGGCCGGTTTCTCCTCGCCGCACTCGCGCTCGGGCGCTCCCGGCGCTCGCTTCTCCTCGAAGGCCCGGGCGCAGCCGCCGGCCTTGGCCCAGAGCTGCCCGCGGGGAGGCTCGGGAGGGCGGGGGGCCAGGCAGGCGGCGCAGCAGCACGGCGGGGGCAGCCCCGGCGCCCGGGGGCTCGGGGCCCCGCCGGGGCACTTACAGGGGGGCACCGGGGCGGCGCCGGGGCCGGGGGGCGGCTCGTCCTGCATCAGCTGCAGCAGGATGTCGGCGGCGCCCGAGGGGCTGTCGGGGCGCGCCGGGGGCGCCCCGCGGGAGCAGGGCGGCAGCAGCAGCGCGGGGGGCTCGGGGCCCTTGGCCAGCGGGTCCCCGGCGGCGCAGGGGGCGGCCAGGCCGGCGCCGTGGGTGCGGCGGTGCCGCAGCAGGTGAGCCTTCTGGCTGAAGCCCTTGCCGCAGTCGGCGCAGCGGAACGGCCGCTCCCCGGTGTGCGTCCGCAGGTGCACGGCCAGGTTCACCTTCTGCCGGAAGCGCTTCCCGCACTCGGCGCACGCGTGGGGCCGCTCGGCGCAGCCGTGGGGACACTCGGCGCACGCGTGGGGACACTCGGCGCACGTGTGGGGCTGCTCGGCGCAGCCGTGGGGCCGCTCGCAGCCGTGGGGCCGCTCGCACGGGTGGGGGTGCTCGGCACAGGCGTGAGGATGCTCGGCGCAGCCGTGGGGACACTCGGTGCAGGCGTGGGGCTGCTCACACGCGTGGGGCCGCTTGGTGCAGGCGTGGGGCTGCTCGCAGGGGTGGGGACATTCAGCGCAGGGGTGCGGCCGCTCGGCACAAGGCAGAGGCCGCTCGGCACAGGGCAGAGGCCGCTCGGTGCAGGGCAGAGGCCGCTCGGTGCAGGGCAGAGCCCGCTCGGTGCAGGGCAGAGCCCGCTCGGCGCAGGGCAGAGCCCGCTCGGCGCAGGGCAGAGCCCGCTCGGTGCAGGGCAGGGCCCGCTCGGCGCAGGGCAGCGGCCGATCGGCGCAGGGCAGCGGCCGCTCGGTGCAGGGCTGTGGCTGCCCGCAGGCGTGGGGTCGCTCACAGGCGTGGGGATGCTCCACACAGGCGTGAGGATGCTCCGTGCAGGCGTGAGGATGCTCCGTGCAGGCGCGGCGCTGCTCGGCGCAGGTGTGGAGCCGCTCGGCGCAGCCGTGGGGCCGCTCGGCGCAGCCGTGGGGACACTTGGCGCAGGCGTGCAGCTGCTCGGCGCAGGCGTGCGGCCGCTCGCCGCCGCCGTGGCCCGGCCGGAGCCCCCCGTGCTCCGCACAGGCCTCCCCGCAGAGCGCGCAGGGGAAGGGGCTCCCGGCGGGGTCCAGGGCGCCGGGGGCCGCGCCGGGGGTCCCGGTGTGCACCCGCTGGTGCACCCGCAGGGACAGTTTGCTCTTGAAGCGCTTGGGGCACTCGAGGCAGGTGAAGGGCTGGCGGCCCAGGTGCGTCTTCTGGTGCGCCAGCAGGTTGGGCTTCTGCGCGAAGCGCTTCCCGCACTGGGCGCAGGCGAAGGGGCGCTCGCCCGTGTGCACCCGGTAGTGCGTCACCAGGTTGCCCTTCTGGTTGAAGCGGCGGCCGCAGACGCCGCAGGTGAAGGGCCGCTCACCTGTGTGGATGCGCTGGTGGGTGGCCAGGTTGGTTTTGAGGCTGAAGCGCTTGCCGCAGGTGTCGCAGCGGAAGGGGCCGCGCCCGCCGGCGCCGTGCCCGTGCCGCGGCGGCCGCTCGCACTGCGCCAGGCCCCGCCCGCACTCGGGGCACGGCCAGGGCCGGCCCTCGCCCGCCCGCGCCGGGGGGGACCCGGGGGGCTGCTCGGCGCCCGGCTCCGCGGGGGGAGCGCCGGGGCACGGCTTGTGCCCCGCGTGGCTCTTCTGGTGGGCGACGAGGGCGAGCCAGAGCCCGAAGCTGTTCCCGCACTGGTTGCAGATGAAGGGCTTTTCCGGGGAGAGCACGGCTTCCGCCGGCCCCGGCTGCGCCCCCAGGGGCCCCAGCACGGGCGGGCCGGGGGCAAAGGGCGCGGCGGGCGCCTCGGGGGGCCGCAGCAGGGGCACCTTGGGGCAGAAGCCGTCGCCGCAGTGGGCGCAGGGGAAGGGGGGCTCACCCGGGGCCGGGGGGGGGAAGCCCTTCTCGGGGCACGGGAACAGCTCGGCGCCCTCGGGGAGCTTCGGGGCGGGCGGGAGCGGGGCAAACGGGGCGGGGTCCTGCGGGGCGGGCGCGGGGGGCAGCAGGGCGGGCGCGGCCCCGAAGGGCGCGGCGGGGGCCGGGCCGCGCGCGGGGCAGCGGCGCTGGCGGGGGATGTGCGTCTTCTGGTGGGCCTTGAGGGACACCTTGTCCTTGAAGCACTTGTGGCACTGGGCGCAGGGGAAGGGGCGCAGGTCGGTGTGGGTGCTCTGGTGCGTGACCAGGTTGGTTTTCTGGGTGAAGCGCTTGCCGCACTGGGCGCAGGCGAAGGGCCGCTCACCTGTGTGCACCCGGTAGTGCGTCACCAGGTTGGTTTTCTGGTTGAAGCTGCGGCCGCACAGGAAGCAGGAGAAGGGCCGCTCGCCTGTGTGGATGCGCCGGTGCGTGATGAGGTTGGGCTTCTGCCGGAAGCTCTTCCCGCACTCGGGGCACACGAAGGGCGCGTCCTCGGGGCAGCCCCGCGCCGGCGCCCGCGCCCGCGCCTTGCCCTCCTCGGGGTGGGCGCCGTGGATGCGCTGGTGCGCCAGCAGGTTGGCCTTCTGCGAGAAGCTCTTGCCGCACTGGGCGCAGGGGAAGGGCCGCTCGCCCGTGTGCACGCGCCGGTGCGTCAGCAGGTTGGGCCGCTGGCTGAAGCTCTTGCCGCAGTCCCCGCAGCGGAACGGCTTCTCCCCGGTGTGGATGCGCTCGTGCGTCACCAGGCTCTGCTTCTGCCGGAAGCCCTTCCCGCACTGGCCGCAGCGGAAGGGGCCGGGGACGCCCCCCTGGGCCCCCCAGCAGCCGGCACGGGGGGCAGGGGGGTCCCGGGGGGGCTCGGGGCCGCGCTGCCCGCCGGGGAACCAGCGGCCGGAGCTGCCGCCCGCGGCCGGAAACAGCTCCAGGGAGCCGGCGCCAATCCCGGGCTTCTCCTCGGGTTCCACCTTGCTCACCCGCCCGGGCTCCACTGCACCGGAGAGATGCCGGTGTTATCCCGGCTCCCGGAGCACCCCAGGCTGTCCCGAGTGGGGAGGACCCGGGCCCAGCCGCCCCTTTCCTCGTGGGCCCCTCGCTCCTGAACCACGGGGACCTGGGACACCCCAAAGGGCCTCAGGTCCCCAAGCCTGTCCTGGCGCGTGACACTCCAAACCCTCCAGTTTGCGACACCCAGGTCCAAAATGGTCCAAACTGGCTCAGAATGGCAAAAACTAGTCTAAAATGGCCAAAAGTGGCTCTCAAAAGTAGCCCGCAATAGCCACGAACTGGCTCAGAATTGCCATAAGCTGGTCATAAATGGCTGCGAGCTGGCACAGGAGGGCCCCAAAATGGCTGAAAACTGTCCCAAAATGGCTGAAAAAGGCCTTTAAACTGGTCCTAAGTGGCTCAGAACAGTCCCCAACTGGCTTCAAAAAGTTCTAAACTGGCTCAGGATGCTCCAGAAGGATCCCAGCCCATGTTCCCCCCGAGCCCCCCAGTCCCACGGATCCGGGCTCACCAGCGCAGGGGCTGCCCAGGGCCTTGGACTCCTCCGGGCCCGTCCGCGCGGCTCCGAACGGCTCCTCCGGCGGCTTCATCCCGAACAAACCCCCCGGCTTAAAGAAGCGGTACCCTGGGGGGACACGGGCACCGCCGTCGGCACCACCGGAGCGCCGGGACTGCTCCCGGGAGAGCCGGGCTTGCCCCTCGAGAACCTGGCTCCAGGTGAGCCGGGACGAGGTGAGCCCCTCCTGGGCTCCGGCTTCTCCCCGCAGCCTCTCCCATCCCCGGGAATCCCCAGAACGCTTTCATCGTCCCAGTTCAAAGTCCCCACAAAAATGCACCGGGCTCTGTGCGGAGGATTCCAGCCCAGGGCGTCCCCCCTCACCTGTGCAGGGATCCGAGGGGATCTCGGCGCCGACGGCATCCAGCTGGGACCCGGCCCGCGGCGCCGGGCTCAGCCGGGAGTACGGCAGCAGATCCAGGGCGTGGGCGGGCTGGGGAGGGGGCAGTGGCTCAGAGGCGTTTTGGGGCCATTTGGGTCATTTTGGGAGGTCTGAGGACCTTTCCCTGGGTTTGGCCACAGGCCAAGGACAGGGATCATGCCCCTATTCCTCCATCCCAAATAGGAGATTCCTTGCTCCAGGATGGAACCCACTTCCCTGCTCCCCAAACAAGATCCTTGTTCCCCCAAAACAGATGCCCCACCCTGCTCCTCCAGACCGGACCCCTGACCCCCAAACCGGGTCCCTGCCCCCCCCATGCCCACTTCCCACCCCCCAAACCAGCTCCTTGCCCGGCCAGGACCCGCACGAGGGAGGAACCTTTCCCGAAGAGCCAGTCCCGCTTTTCCGGGGACGCTGAACCCCCCAAGTCCCCCGTGCCCTCCCGCGTCCCTCCCGTGTCCCCAAACCCCGGGAGCCCGGCGGCGGCAGAACCGGGGGGTGCGGCCCCCCCGCGCCGCGGGACTTCCCGGTGCGCGGATTTCCCGGAAAAACTCTTGGGGGGCTCCAGGGGCCGAGGAGAAAACCATCGGAACCGGCCGCGGGGATCCCCCCGGGATCCCCCCACGCCCCGGGGCTGGCGGAGCGGGGCAGCCCCGGAGCTCCCCCGGGATCCCCGCGTACCTGGGGCGCTCCCCCCGCCGACATCGCCGCCCCGGGCCGCTCCCGGCCGCTCCGGGCTCCCCGGGCGCTCCTTCCCCGCCGCTCCCCGGCTCTTCCCGGCCGCTGCCCGGCCTCGGCCTGGTCTCCTTCCGCCTCCGAGTCCCTCAAATGGCCGCGGCGGGTCCTGGGAGAGCGGGAGAGCCGCGATGTGAGCGGGAGGGGACCGGGCCGGGAGGGCAGCGGGACCGGGCCGGGAGCGGCTCCGGCGGCCTCGGACCCCCGTCCTCCCCCGCCTCCCCCCGGAATTTGGGGTGCGGAAGGCGCCGAGCGGGGCCGGATCCGGCTGGGAACGGCGAGAGCTGGGGAGCGCTGGGAGTTGTAGTTCGGGAGGGGCTGGGATGGGATGGGATGGGATGGGATGGGATGGGATGGGATGGGATGGGATGGGATGGGATGGGATGGGATGGG